CCCAGGTGTCCATCCGCGCGCTGGGCTTCGACCCGACGAAGGAGGAGCTGCGCCGGATCGTGTCCGAGGTGGACAAGGAGGGCTCGGGGAAGATCGGCTTCGACGCCTTCTACTCCGTCATGGCCCACAAGATGGTACGGCCGCCAGCCCGGAGCCCGCGGGGGCCCTGGCGGCGGGGGGCTCCGCGCGAGTTGGCTGGTTGCCTGCAGGCGCGGAGGGCCGCCCGTCCTCCTTGTTTCTGGAAATGGGAAGAGCCGGGGAAGGAAGCCCCTCGCGCCCAAGTCCGGGGTCGGCCTGTTCGCTGGCCGACTGCCCGAGCAGGGAAGCGAACGGAGGGCCTCGGAGCCCTTGGGCTGGGCGGGCTCCGCGCGGAAGAGAAACGGGCTCATTCGGCCCCTGATGAAGGCTTCTTCCTCCGCCGCGGGTAGTCGGAGACAGACCCCAAAGAGGAGATCCTGAAGGCCTTCAAGCTCTTTGTGGACAAGGACCGGGGCAGGATCACCTTCAAAAACCTCAAGCAGATTGCCAGCGAGATCGGGGAGAAGCTCACCGACGAAGAGTTGCAGGTGGGTTTTGCACCCGCCGGCCGACATGGGGCCATCCAGCCAGGATCTGTCTGTGGGCAGGAAAATCCACACTCCCTCTAATGAAAAGCGGGGGAGGGGGGGGGATTTTCCTACTCTTGCAAATTCCATGAACTCTCTGGTTTGGAGGTTGGCCAAGCTTCCTATACTGCATGTTGAAGCTGGAGGGACGGACCCTGGCACCAGCCCCACAAACTTGTTCAGGCCCACACTGGCCCCCGATGGAGCTAGCTTCTGAGTGCTCTCAGGAACGGAGGTTTGCTCACAAAGCCTGGATCCTGGATGCTCAGGCAGCTGCTTCCCTCTGATGGAAGATTGCAGACGTTGCTTTACTCCTTAGCGTGTGTATGCGTACCTAAGGATTCCTGTTAGAGGAGGGGCGTGGGAAGGCACTTAACGCTCAGATGGGTTTCCTTTTTCTCTAGCTCCAGGCCATCTTCTCCAGAAGGCAGCAGCTTTTCTGAGAGAGAGCCTTCTTATCCGTATCTCTGTCCCGCAGGAAATGATTAATGAAGCTGACCTGGATGGAGACGGGGAGGTGAACGAGCAGGAGTTTCTGAAAGTCATGAAGAGGCGTGATCATTAGGTGAGTCCCCTGCCTCTTGTCTCTTGAGCATGGCTGGGAGCTCATCGCCCCAGTTGCTGCAGAGAGGAAGGGGACGGCAGGGCCGGGGCTAGCTGGGAGCCTGGGGGCCCCTTTACTCCTCTTGCTTGCAGGAACACGAAAGGACTCTGGTTCGGGCACCATTAAGGTCTTCTTGGCTTCAAGCAACCCTTTCGCTCCTACTAAATACGGCAGCAAAGAGACTGACTTAGAGGGTGCCCTCTCTGTTGTGACTCTTTGAACCAGCCATCCCAACCCAGCACCTTTCAGACATGCTGGACCACAACTCTCTGTTTCACTGGGTCAGGAACGATAGGGGCCCAGGAACCTGAGAAGCTGTTTTAGCCAATAGGCCAGGTCTACGGTGGCTGGTGGTGTGATGCCCCAGAGTTCAAGCAGCGCATATCTTTCCCTCCTGAAGCTGCTCTCAGAGGTGGATTTGGGAGCTCCTGCATGCAAGGCAGGTCTTCTGCCCCCGAGCCGTGGCTGAGCACATCCGGAGGAGCCCTCCCAGGCCTCCTTGCGCAGGCTCTGCAAGAGGACATCACCAGAGAGATGCCAGGAAATAACTCATTCTCACGACAGCGATTAGGATTCTGCCTTATTATCTTCCAATCATACCATCGTCTCCAATCACTTCATCTCAATGTCATTCCCCATTGGAAAAACTGTTCTGTAAAGAGCGAAAGAAGCAACCCAGAACCAAAGTAGATGACGGGGTGGCCAGTCCCTCTGGCCCGAGTCTTCCAAAACCGCCCTTCAGGAGGCAAGGAGAAACAACAGGAAGGCAGAGTTGAAAGGTAGCAGCCTCATCCTTGATGCAGAGCTGTCCTGCTGCCACACGCAGTGCAACCTTACTCAAGATGGTGCCCTCCAAAGGGATTGGACTGCAGCTTCCATCAGCCCCAGTCCACACACTTGTGCTTCCTAGGAATGATGGGAGTTGTTGTCCGACACAGCCAAAGATGCTGAGTTGAGGAAGGCTGAGTTGTCTCAGTCTTGAAAAAGAAAATCCTAGGGCCAGAGGTGGAATTCTGGAAGGCCCTTTTTCAGTTTTGTCACCTTCTGCATCCTACTCCACCTCAAAGCTACAGTGGTACCTCGGGATACGAACGCCTCTACTAACGAACTTTT